AGTCGGTGCGGACGATGCTGCTGCACATGGGCGTGCAGCACCACTGGTGGCACCTCGCTCTGCGGCATGCCGTCTGGGTCCGCAACTGCCTTGAGAGGTCGACGATGCCGTCGGGGACGACGCCGTACCAGCTGCTGACTGGGCAGAAGCCCGACTTGTCGCTGGCGCGGGTGTGGGGATGCATGGCGCAGTTCCTCGTCCCCGAGCAGCAGCGTGGTGGGAAGCTGAAGCCGAAGGCCAGGTGGGGCCTTCACCTCGGCGTGTCGCAGGAGAGCAAGGGCTGGGAGCTCCTCGACATCGCCGACAACCAGGTGGTCACCACGTCGGACGTGGTGTTCTACGAGGATCTGTCGCTGGCCAAGTGGAAGTCGGAGCACGGGCCGGTGTCAGGACGGACGCCGACCACCCTGCCGACCGACACCTCGACAGCGACGCTGCCTCTACTTGCCGAGGTCGGTGAGCTTGCTGTTGAGGATGTCGAGGACGTCCACCCTCCTTCCTCTTCCCCTTCCCCTCCGACCCCTGCCCCTCCCCTCGTGGCCGACCTGCGCGGGCTGACTTCTGAGTCGGCCTCCGGGGATGAGGGGAGTCGTGGGACGTCGCCTTCGGCGCCGGCCATGGGCATCGCCGGTGGCCGACGTGACAAGCGGCAAGTCAACGTGGGAGTGAAGTCGATGTTGACAAGGGAGGATCAGGTCGAGGAGGTGCAGCCGACTTGGGTGAAGTCGGAGAAGCAGGCAGCAGGGCAGCAATCGACAGGGGAGCAGGCAGAGGTGAAGCCGACCACGGAGCAGTCGGCAACCAGACAGTCGGCAGAGGAGCCGACCACAGGGGAGAAGTCGGCCAGGAAGCCGACCCAGGTGGAGCAGGGCGACGAGGGCAGCAAAGCCGGTGACGAAGGAGGGGACACCGAGGAGTCCACCGACAGCGACGTGGTGGAGGTTCAGCCTAAACCCCGAAAGTCAGGCCGACTTCGGAGGCCACCCGACTTCTTCGTCCCCGCTGCCTTCACCACGGTGTACGACGTGGACGACGACGACTTGCTGTACAACGACGCCGAGGAGGATGAGGAGTTTCTGGAGCTCGACCCTGACTTGCTGGCCGACCCCGAACACCGTTGGGACATCTCGACAATGACGGTGAAGGAGGCGTTGGCGAGCTGGAAGGGCCCGGCGGTGAAGGCCGCCACGGAGGAGGAGATTCGTAGCCTCATCAACATGGGCACTTGGGAGCTGGTCGAACGGCCGCCGGGGGTCAACATCATGAAGAACCGGTGGGTGTTGACGACGAAGTACCACGTCGACGACATCGTCGAGCGCGAGAAGGCGAGGTTGGTCGTGAAGGGCTTCATGTAGGTGTACGGCGCCGACTACGACGAGACGTTCGCGCCGGTGGGCAGCTACGTCACGCTGAGGATCTTCCTCAGCATCGTCGCCATCCTCAACCTCAACCTAATGCAGCTCGACATGAAGAACGCCTTTCTGCAGAGCAAGCTCGACAGGGTGCTCTACATGTCCCAGCCGGACTACTTCAACGACGGAACCGGCCGGGTCTGCAAACTGCTGAAGAGCCTGTACGGCCTGAAGCAGTCGCCGCTGCTGTGGTACTTAGCACTCAATGACGTGCTGGTCGGCGCCGGGTTGAAGAAGAGCCAGGTTGACGAGGCTCTGTACTTCAAGGTCGGCGACGACGGAGTGGCCTGCTGGGTGCTGGTCTATGTTGACGACCTGCTCGCTGCCAGCAACAGCACTGAGATGCTGAAGGAGCTTAAGGGGCTGCTGGAGTCCGCCTTCGAGCTGCGTGAGATCTTGCCGGTGCAGAAGTACCTCGGGCTGGAGATCGTCCGCGACAGGTCGGCGGGGAAGCTGTGGCTGCACCAGCAGGGCTACGCCGACAAGGTGCGTAGGTGCTTCATCGACGAAGAGCAGACCGGGCGCACCCCAAAGACGCCGGTCTCCGTCGACGCCTACGCCGACCTCACCTTCGACGACGAGGAGGCACAAGAGCGACAGGAGGAGGAGTACCGGTAGAAGGTCGGCTCACTGCAGTTCGCGGCGACGACGACGAGGCCGGACATCGCCTTCGCCTGCAGCAAGCTGGGGAGCGGCCTCACAGTGAGGAGCGACCAGCACTGGCGCGAGGTCGACCGCCACCTCGCCTACCTCGCCAACACGCTTGACACCGCCCTGGAGTTCGGCGGTGGACCCGAGTCGCTGGAGCTAGTCGGCTATGTGGACGCCGACGACGCCGGTAACAAGCAGAGCAGGATGAGCACGGGCGGCTACGTGTTCGTCTACGGAGGGGCCGAAGTCTCCTGGTCGAGCCAGCGCATCAAGTGCGCGACGTTGTCGTCGACCGAGTCGGAGTACGTGGCGGCCACCGAAGCCGGCAAGGAGGGACACCGACTTCGCTTCCTCCTTGCAGAGTTCCGGCAGTTGGATGCCGGGAAGCCGACCGTCCTTCAGGTGGACAACAAGTCGGCCATCACGGTCGCCGAGGGCATGGGGTTGACAGGCAACCTCAAGCACATGGAGCGGCGACAGGCCTGGCTGCAGCACATGGTGAGGCGCGGGAAATTCTCGCTGAGGTACATCCCAACTACCGAGCAGCCGGCCGACTTCCTGACGAAGGCGCTGCACTATCCGGCTTTCAACCGGTGCTCCGTCGCCATCGGCCAGGTGCGCTTGGCCGACGTGGGCGACGAAGGTGACGACGTGCAGCAGTAGGTGCCATGCCCTCTTGCATGGCTGGTGCGGTGGACGACGTGCTGTGTGTTCGGTGCACGTCGACGAGCTATTCTCCGAGCAGTGATGCCGTCTGGGCTGGGGGCCCAAGCGTGAACGCGGTAGGGGAGTGTCAACGAGAGTTGTTGTTGGCCCCATCCTCGCTTGGGCGGAGCCGACTTCATGGTTGGGTGTACGGGAGGTACAGCCGACTTGCAGCAGTGGGCGACGCCGACTTGGGGCGAGCTGGTCGACGGGGTTGGTCGACTTGCACGGGGCCACTGCAATGCCGTCGACTTGGGAAGCCGGCGACCGACTTCAACTGGTGGTCGGCGATGTGGCACGTCGACCTGGAAGTCGGCGCCGACTTGCAAGGTCACCGACTTGCAAGGTCAACGACTTACAAGGTCACCGACTTGCAAGGTTACCGACTTGCAAGTCCGCCGACTTGGGAGGTCGCCGACTTCAAGAGGTCGGCCCGGAAGTCGGCATCGACGTAGAAGGGGCGTCGACTTGGTGATGCCGACTTTGGGTAGCCGACTTGGATGGTCGGCTGACGACTGTGCTGGTCGACCTGGAGCTGGTCGACCAGGAGTGACGTCGGCCTGGAGCTGGTCGACCAGGGGTGTGGTCGACCTGGTGAGGTCGACTAGAGGTGGCCGTCGACTTGGGAGGTCGACAGGCACATACAGGAGCACCTGGTCGACGTGGTTGCCCAGTCGACCAGGTTACCTGGGTGACGAGGTTCTGCGGAGGAGCGCGACGGTCGCCCAGGCGAAGTTGGCGAGTCCGACCTCGATGGTGGTATCCCGAGGTCGACGTGGCTGATCAGATGCAATCGTCAGCGCCAGGTTGACTTGGTGTGTGCGCTGTGCAGGTGACGAGGCTCTGCACGCCAATCATCTTCGAGCACCTGCGAAGCTGGTGCGATGCGGTTTTGCGGGAGCAACGCTGGCACACCGTCAACCTGCAACGTTGGCACGCTGTCGACTTTGCACTGCTGGAGCGCGGTCGACCAAGTCGTGCTGGAACGCGGTCGACCATGCTGTGCTGGCAGTCAAACGACCTGAATGCTAGCTATGATGTAGTCTAGCCATGCCAACTTCATTGTACCATCGTTGTCAACTTTCTCTAGTGAAACTCCTGCCAATTTGCCCCGTGAACTAGCAAGCAGTGTGTGCACTAGGAAAACGACTAAGGACCAACGAACGCAGAGATCATACGAGCACCCATGCCTAGCCCGTAGTCTAGCTCCCGTTGCTGTAGTTATCTCCGCATTGTCGATGGAGGTAGGTATTACTGTGGGGTTGGGAGTCCCATCTATGGAAACGTATGAATAGGGTGGGTTCTTGGATCTCAGGGCATCCAGCACCCCAGGTGATGCTGTAGCCACTGGTGTTGCCTCTAACGCCATGACTGCTCTGCGCCGACTCCCTCTCCACGCCAAGCCCTAAGCTCGAGAGCGCCTGCCCATGTCGTCAAGTTGGTGGCGTGGGGGAGGTGGGGGGTTGACAGCTGCTAGAGCCGCTTCGTATAGGGCTCCCTAGTCGCCTTCAAAGAATTTGCAGAGCCGTGTTGTCACGGCTGGCCAATCAGGATGTTTTTGGGGTTGCTCCGATGCAGTAACAGTTGTGGGATGAATAGCAGCAGGCGACAACCTGCGACTGACTCAGGGTTTCGTGCGAGGTGCAGCAGCGGCGTTAGCAATGCCATGCCGAATTGGGGACGAGTATCACACGGGAGTTTTCGTGACAGTATGGGCTAGCGACCACCGCTGAATCAGGATTGGTCCCTTGCCAGCTGCTCTGGCGAGAATTGGCGGGGAGGTTATGGGTTTGCATTTTTTCCAGATGCGTGTTGAGAATCCACCCCCCCTCCCCCCCCCCTCCCCCCTTGTTGCCAATGTTTTGAGATGCGGCTCGACTTGGTGTTGGCAAACTCCTTCGATGCATTGCAGCCCAAATTTCCTTCCTGCTTCAGCACTTCCTTCATTAGATGATTCCACCACTGCTCCTTGTACATAAGTTGCATCCCGAGCGTTATCATCTTCATTAGCAGATTCGTTCTCTTGCCTATTTAAAGCCCGTCATGCAGCCCTTTGGAAGCCATTCATCGGCCCTCCGTCTGCCGTCCCAGCGCTACGCCTCCTAGTCTCTCGTTCTCTACGTATAGCGTGCGCCGTCTGCCGGGGTGTATGTGCGTTTGCTAACGCCCTCTGCCACTGTGTCAGTGGGGCACGTACCCTCCCCCCCCCCCCCCCCCTCGCGTTTGTGTTTGATGGCTGCTGAGGCTGCGCAATCAGAAGTGGAGCTCCCTGCTACTCCGGTAGGCACGGGGGGAATTCTGCGGAGAGTGTTTTTGCCCCTGCTCCGCTCCTTGTTTCATCTGCACCAGCTCAATCTCCTGCGCTCGAGCTCTCTGCCGATGTTGGCGGTGTGGCGCCACTTCAGGGCATGGACTCGGCCTGCCAGCAGCCTCCTGCTCCACTTCACGGCTGGTGCACCATGCACACCGCCGCTTGTCGCTCAGTCGGTGCCGGTGACGCAGCCGCCCGTCGTGGGGTCGGCGCCGGTGACGGCGGTGGGCGTCGTCCCCGACACGGCTCGTAATGTGTCTCTTGAGTCTGCGCCTCCTCATGCAGCACCTCTGAGAACCGCGCCGCCACCGCAAGGGGCCAGGCGACATCCCATCAGGGTCGCAATTCTCCTCGTCGCTGTCCCTCCTCGTCGTATCGCTCTGCTCATCGCGGCGGCCGTGGCGGTTGGAGGGGATGTCATGGTTCTGGCCGAGGTGGCGTGAATGGAGTGCAACAGTTGCGTGTCGACCTGCAGGGGATGCTGGCTGCTGCAATGCACTCAGCGCAGGTTGGTTCGACGAGCCACATCGGCTTGCAGTCTCTTCCCGCTGCTCCGATGGTCCATGCGCCCGAATATGAGCGCTTTCAGGCTCCTGCTGTCTTGCTGCCCCCCCGCCGTCTTGCTGCCCCTACGGCGCCTCCTCCCTCTCTTCCCGATCCCGCTGAGTACAAAGTACAAGGCTATATATAGGCACGAAACAAGGACAGTAACCAGAATGTTACGGGAAGGTTCCGAGGGTCGCGAAGCGTTCCGAACGGGTCCTTCTCGAATTCGGTAGAAGCCTCTCGGAGGCAACCAAAAAACATAGAATTTAGTGCAAGTAACCTTTTCGGTGCCTATTACCATAATAATTCTACTTAGTAACGAAACTAGGAAAACAAGCTCAAGAAAATAGAAACAAGCAAAATAAGGCAAGGCAAGTTAAATACAGGTAGGCAGAGTCGTCGTACTCTCAAACGCCCCCCCCCCCCCCCCCCCCCAAGCTGGGTGGCATGATAAACACCCCGCTTAACAAGATAATTCTTGAGAGCACGGCGTAAGTTGCCTATATCAGCTTCTGCAACCCAACTGTCTTCCGAGGAATCATATCCCTTCGAGCTCTTCGGGAACTGTAGCATGTTGCCGCATCTGCGTCAATGAGCGACGACACGTTCCACCTCGTACTCTGGTTAATCCTGTACAAAAACAGGTGCTGGTGGCGATAGCTGTCGTCCCTGAAACTGTTGGTGTGGGTCCTTGTAGGGCTTCAGTAGCTGAACATGGAAAGCGTTGTGAAGCTTCCACGTAGTCGGTAAGCGCAAGCGGAATCTTACTGGTATCGCCATTGCCTCAACGCGAAAGGGATCACACACAAGCGAGGCCGGAGCTTGGATGGGAGGAGAGACAAGTCCAAGTTGCGTGTGTCGAGAAGCACCTGATTTCTGACTGCAACTAAGTCATCACGTCGCTGTCGATATGCAGACTGCTTATGGGAGTTCTGGATCATGGTGAGACGTCGCTTAGTCTTCTCCCATAGCTGCTGCATGGTGGTGACGAACTCGTGTGCGGCTTGAACGTGTGCCGGTGTGGTTTGTTATTGTGGTGTAAGTGGTTCGCGTTCGTAACACAGGAAGAAATGAGTTCTCCTTGTGGCCGCATGTGAAGCTTTGTTGTAAGCAGACTCAAACGTCTGTAGCTGTAGATCCCAGTGGCTGATATCGTCTTTGCATGCGGTATGCGGTAACTGTTCAACCACCTGATTTTGTCGCTCTGTCTGTCCATCAGTCTTGGGGTGGTATGCTGAAGGCATCGCAAGCTTTGTCCTCAACAAACCCATGAATTCCCTCCTGAACTTACTTGTGAACTTTGAATCTGTGTCCGAGATGAGTGTAGCGGGGATGCCGTATGGGGATGATGCGGCCGAAAAAGGGGCGAGGAATTGCTTTAGCTGTAGCCGTGGCATTGGTTGGGATCAAGTGTCCCATTTTAGAGAACTTATCGATCACCACGACTATAGCGTCATGCCCTCGTGAGGTCGAAGAAAGCCCAGTAACAAAGTCAAGGCTAACGACTTGCCATGGCTACTTCGGTACGGGTAGAGGATGAAACAACTCTATTTTTTTTCTAATTACTACTCTTCATCCGCTGGCACGTGTCGCATGAGGTGACGAACTGTTGCATGTCTGCTGCCATCCGGGGCTAGTAGTAAGACTTCGCTATCCCTGCTAACGTCTTGTTACTTCCAAAATGTAACGCATATGCTACATCGTGAAACTCTTCCAGTAAGATTTGTTGGAGCAGGGCATAGTTCGGTACCAAAATCTTTCTTGAACCATTCCTTACCGCTAAGTCCTTCTCCCACTGTAACAATTTCTGCTTCTATGGAGTAGCAATTTCTGCGTCCACGAAGTACCCATGTTGGAATAGACCCTTAAACATCATCCCGTCGAGCTGGATGCCTGCTACATGTCCGGGGCAGCTCAACGCGGCAGCTTTGTTGTGTAGGCCGGGCCTGTAAATGATGTCGTAGTGGATAGTGAGTCTATCCACCGCACCTGTTGTCGTGAGAGCGTTGGATGTGTCTTGATGTATTTGAGACTGCAGTGGTCAGTGTAAACTGTGGTTTTGGTTCACTCTAGGTAACACCTCTACGCCTCCCCCCCTTGTCCTTGGCTTCCCACCTCCCCGCCCCATGTTTCCCCCCTCCTGTGTGCTCAGCCTCTCCCCTCCCTGCCTCTCTCTCCTCCCCGCCCTGCCCCTCATTTTCAGCTCCCCCACGCCCGGTTTCTCCCCTCCCTGCACCTCCCTTTCTTCCTCCGTGCCTCTCCCTTGTTCCCTCCCTGCCCCTGGTCGCCCATGCTGTGACTATAGCTAAGGCTTCACTGTCGTGGATTGTGTAATTCAGTTAATCTATGTGTAGCTTCTTACGAAGATAGGCGATGGGTTGCAACCGTGTTTGTGATCATGCATCAGTACTGCTCCGACTGCCTAGTCACTAGTGTATGCTTCCACCAAGTAATTTTTGTCTGGATCCGGTAGAATGGGTACTAGGGCAGAAGTCAGTGCTGTCTGTAGTTGTTCTACGGTTTGCTGTTGAGAAGTAACCCATTTATAGGGCGTATCCTTTTTCAGTGAGTTCGTCAGTGGCGCTGCTATTTCAGCCTACTGTGGGACGAACCTGTTGTAATGGTTGGTGAAGCCTATGAGCTATTAAAATTCCTTGACGTTCTCTAGCACTTTCCACTTTTTAACGGCTTCGATCTTCCATGGGTCCACGTGTACACCCTCGGCACTCACCATGTGCCCGAGAAACTGCACCTTCTTCAGGGCAAAGCCGCTCTTTGTCAACTTCACGTAGAACTCGTTCCCCACAAGATCTCGAAGGCTTTCTGCAGATGCTCCACGTGCTCCTTCATATGTTCTAAGTAGATGAGAATGTCGTCCAGGTGCACTAATACACGCTCGTCCAGCAGGGGCCATAGGATGTGATTCAAATCTACCCAGGATGTCGTTGGTGCGTTGCAGAGTCCGGACAACATCACTAACTACTCGTAAGAGCCGTATCTAGTACGAAACGCCACTTTGTGGGTCGAATTATGTGCCATCTTAATCTGGCAATAACCCGATCGTATGTCCAGCTTCGAAAAGACAGTCGAACTACGCAGTTGGTCTAGGAGATCGTCTATGTGCTGCATGGGGTACTTGATTTTTACTGTCTGTTTGTTCAGTGCCCAGTAGTCGATGCACATCAACAAACTACCGACCATCTTTTGAGTGAAGAGAACTAGTGCACCGCAGGGATAGTTGAATGGTCGTTAGTCTCATGTCCAGTAAGTATTCTATTTGCTTCTTCATGTCTGTCAGTTCTATCGGATTGAGGCAGTACGGTGCACGGGAGAGGGGTTTCACACTTGGTTCCTCCAAGATCTCTCGTGCTCGTGGGTTCGCGTTGGAGGCACGCCTGCATGTAGAACTGTGCAAGTGTCATTATATGAACATCCTTTGAATCCGTCTTGCTCCGCAGCTCCACACGTTTGACTTTGTTGTATATGCTGGCTATCTGGTTGACTCAATCTATCTCAGGGCACGCCCCAAGATAAATCTTAACCCTTTGATGTTTGTGATCGGCAACGTCAACTTCCACCTCAATGCACCTATCTGTACCTGTAGCATTGACTCGCCATGGATGGGTAGCTTCGTGCTGTCCACCATTGTTGCTGTGAACTGGGTCCCCTCCGAAAACTCCCCTATTCCCTCCGACATCCCGCGGTCGCACACCGAGTGGGACACTCCACTATCAACCATTGCCTGGAGGCGTCGGCCTTTGCAGAGCACCTTGAGAAGTAGTGGCTGCTGCCACTTCGAGTAGCCAAAGATGGTTTCATTAATAGGATCATAGGGTACATCAATACTATTATTATCCCTATTTCTTGTACCTAAAGTTGCACTTTCTACTTCCAACTTCACCTGGGCTGTAAAAGGATTTTTTGGAGGCCAATTAAGCTTCTCCTGGGCCTGGAACCTTCCCCTAAGGCTTTGGAGTTGCGTCGACTTTACCAGTGGGGAATGTGGAGCCTTCACACCGTACTGCTTGAAGAGAATGTTAACTCCTCGGAACGCTCGACCCTTTTCGACGCTCTGGGGTTGGTTTCCCAACTTTTCTAGTACCGGTACAATTTCTTAAGGCTTTATCTAGCCCCTAACTCTCCTCTAAAGTTTTTGAAGGCTTGAAAACCACGAGAAGTAATATTTTTAATAATAGTATTCATATAGGATAATTTTTAACGAATTCTTACTCTCGTGGGTGTTCGGTTGGAGTTTCCCAGTCAGTGCAGAGTCATTTTTTCGCGAAGTCTCCATTTGTCTCAGCAATTTCCCCTGGCGCCGGCTGGTCGTGACGTTTTAAATTCGCGCCATCATTTCCTCCTTTTTCGCGTGCTCTGAAGTTGCCACGTTGTTGCCTTTTTACATTTTTCAGATATTTTCGCGATCGTCAGCTTGATCCGCAGCTACTAGCGATCCTCGTTTTTTTACTTCGGCGGTGCGGCAGTGTTCTTGCCTTGAAGATCCGCACGTGCATTTTTCATTTTCCAGCACGACAAAACCGATGTCCTGCTGAACCGCAAAATTCAGACGTTTCATCACGTCGATTCTGTCGAAATCCATCAGGTTGGCAATCGTGAGGGTTGTCGATCGCTCCGCGCCAAAATTCATGTTTGGCACGTTGCGTCGTGTTTCATGTTGTCCCTTGGTCAACGCGTCGAACTGTTCGGCTGTGGAGACTATGTTCGTGTAGCTACTGTAGTTTGCCGCAGTAACCTGTTGGCAAATTATGTTCTTTTAGTTTGGCAGTGTACGCTTGGATTATTCACCTTCTGTCAAGTCGTTGATGCTGTTGAAGAGATTATCTATCTGCTGCGTATACTGTGCTACACGACCGATTTGTTGATGCCTATGAATAAG